CTGGAAACAACCTAGATGCCCTTCAACTGAAGAATGGATAAATAAATTGTGGCACATATACACAATGGAATACTACTCAGCAGAGAAAAACAACGACATCACACAGTTTGCAGGCAAATGGATGGATCTAGAAAAAATCATCCTGAGCTTTTCGTAAGGTTCTTGAGGGCATGAAGTAGAACACACGGTTGGCTCTTTTACTAAGACTTGAAAATGGTGTCTTCATAGAATGAGACCTTCTAGCAACTGGCCTATTTTTATTGAGAAAAAAAAGTTCTATTTTTGCTGTTGTTCCTGTTCAGATGGATTGTATTCATACTTAAACCATTTTGATTGATAAATCAATATTACCAGGGGATTGGAGAGATGATTCAGAGGTTAAGAACACTGGCTACTCTTGCAAAGGTCCCAAGTTTGGTTCCCAGTATGTACCCAGTGGTTCACAACCATCTGTAACTCTAGTCCCAGGAGATCCAATGCTCTCCTCTGGCCTCTAAGGCCACCATGCACGCACATAGTTCACAGGCATTCATGCAGGTAAAACTCATACACATAAAATAGAAATAAATCCTTAATAAATAGTCTCCCCAGTTTCTTATTAGTTACAGAGTACAACCTCTTAATTAAATAGTTGAGGAATCAGACATCTTGACCAAGTGGTCAAAACTAGTGTTACCAATGAAGAAGAAAGGAATGCCCCAGAGGAGGACATGGTGTCACTTGTGTAGAATTCTAGTTGGAAATCCATACATCTGAGAAGACATCAGACAAGATGAACAGTAGAGGCAGGGGGACTATACTCTTCAAAAATGTCAGTATTGTATACGAAAAAGGCTATGGAAATAGTCCAGACAAAAGTCAACTCAAAAGATATTAATTAGATATAGTGCCTGATCCCAAACAGTCTAGGACAGTGTGTTACCAGCAGCAAGACTGTCAAGGTCACTGGCCAGTCTACAAAATGAGAGTATGAGGAGCACCAGTACTCACTAACTGAGGTTGAAGTTGCATCATGGTTCTGGGCTGTACTCACTTAATTTGTTCATTGTTGAATTCTGAGCTCCTTGAGAACTTGATGTTCAGAAAGCTCATGATAGGCATTTCTCAAATGAATAAGTGGGTGATTACTATGGGGCCTGCATTTGAGATCAGCCCAAAATAGTTTCTCCATAGACTGCCTCTAAGGCTTCCTGCTTGTATGGGGTCTCAATGATGGACTTTTGCTCATTGTGAAAATTACTCTATCATCTGACATTTACTTGGTTATTTTCCTAGTTGTAGTGTGGTCTGCAGCTATATTTGCTTTTATTACATGTTCATTTATGTGTTTCAAGAGTTAGCTGGTAGTAAGGAATATTGGGATTTCTGGGGTCCTGGTTTCCTTTGTCTGAATAACCCTTGGTATGGGGATTGTGGTATTTTTCAGCTATTGGACCTCTTCATTCAGTGGGATTGGTCCACATACCTTGCTGACTATGGACAGCCCAACTGCAAGTACCTCCGGGTGAACCCTGTGACTGCTCTGACTCTGCTTGAAAAGTGAGTACCCAGGCCTGTGCTCTGTATGGGGAAGTGGGCAGTGGGGCAAAGGGTGGCATACAAGGCCATTTTCCTGTTTCCAGTGCCTTGAAAAACATCTTTGTTTTTGAAGCTAGCTCAGGTGCTGTCAGCCATCTTGACCCTTGCACTTGGTAGTCCAGTTGTAATTCTCAGCTCCAGCAAGCTATAAGTACATATCAGAATGGGATTCTGTATTGCTCTGTGGCCTAATTAGACAAAGTATCTTTCCTTAGAGAAGATAGTAAGATGACTTAGTTTGGGCTCAGGCCAGTCTGGTAAGCAGAAGAGCATGTCCTAGTCCTCGGGGTTTAATGATATGTAGAGCAGAGCTCCTCAGAAATGTGGTTTCACTGAACTGGGTTATCCAACACCAAACATCTCAAAGCTAGCCTCTGGTACACAGGTGCTGGTGGTATGCACCGCAATCTGGCTATGAGTTTTGCTAACCTATTGGGGTTGGGGATTTAGCTCAGTTTGGAGGCCCTGGGT